CAACTAAATAACATGTGCCCTGATGAAAGAGGGCAGAGGGCAACAGCGGCTGTGTTGATATAGAGATGATCACAGCCGGCACAAGGGCAGCAGAACTGTGCTTCAATTGACGAGGACGGGTTATTCATAAACCAGCACTGATCTCATCAACGCAACATCATCTAATAATGCAGCAAGAAAAAAACACTAGTACTTACGGCTGAAACACATTGTCTTGCTTTGAATTCAGTGGCCGTTCTTTTCAGTCCTGGGGGTGAAACATGTGGCCTATAATTCATTTACACATGTACGTGACCAGAAACGCCAGGTAACTTGTGATGCTTATCTGTTCTATGTACTGTAGTAGAGCCATAACAGCAGACCGTTGTCTGCCCGCTTACAAACAACTTTCTATTTTTACATCAGTGGCCAATTTGTCGGTTAATGCACTGATTGAATTTATTTATGGAGGTATTTCCAGCCTAAATCAATCCATTTAGGTTCGCTACACTGCAGTTTCATCTATCCTAAAGAAAATTGAATTTCACATAGGAGCCAATCGAGCAAAACACATCGAATCTATATGGAATCTCTATTATTGTTCAGTCTCCAAAATAAATCAGTTTACAAAAGAAAACGCAAAACTACTGGAAATACATAAACATTGATTGATTATACATATATCCATCTATAAAAAAATACTGTATGTATGTGTATATATATATATTTATTTATTTATATTTATATATTAAGGCTGTCAACGTTAACGCGTAAAAATTATTTAATGCAGTTAACGTAAAATTACTGTTGATTCTCTGCTTGCGATCAGATCATTTTAAGCTGCTAAACTCCGGGAAAGTTTTCAGTACAATGATCCAGTAAGCAAATGCATTCAAACAATCCGTCCAAAACAGCGCTAATATAAAGGAAACCAGGCTGATTACATCAGAGATTGCAGAGAGAACAGAGACTCGTGTTGCGTTTTAAGGGAATTATTCATTCCAGCTTGTTTGGCTTTAAAACACGAGCTCTGTCATATTCTGTGATTGTCTCTGAAGAGCGTGAGCCCTCACATCCTAACACATCCCACCGCTGCATGGCCAGATGAGACGCAAACTACAGTTTCTCGACTTGATAACCAGTCTCGCTAGTAAAGTTTTGATGGATAAAGACTGCAATCAAGGTTAAGACGATTGCGGTGGCGTACAGGAGTCGTACAGTACAGTACAGTAAGCACGCGTGAGTCCATTATAATAATGCGTGTATGAGTGCTCTTGACGCACTGATCGCACATTGTATTTATGCACAGGCACAGACATTTCTGTACATTCACGTTGTTTCCACACACATTCGCGATAATGTTTTGATTTGTCTTGTTTATGTTGCTGTGTTTAGTTATTCTGAATGGATCAGTGTACTGTAGATTTATGCAGTCAGCAGGCGGTTGGTTTAGGGATTTTTTGGCATCTCCATGTGGTCCTGTTCGGTATCGCAAATTGGCTTCTCTAAAATGTAAAATAGCTATTTGCTGTTGCACTGTACACATATTATACAATTCAGATATATACTGTAAATATTGTTTTTGTGCATTTTTTCTTTCATATGTGCTTATATGGGCTCCTTATATCATTTGGTTCTTTTGGTGTCCTTTTGGAGTTTCTAAGTGTCCTTTTTT